CGGAAGGTTTACATATATCTGTGATATACATTTCAAGACTTTCGAGAGTTTCACTACTCTCGGAGCCCGGTCATGGGTCAAGCTTATCTGGTGCTTGCCTGGTCAACCAGGCTGTTGCTGCTGGAGGCCCGCTGCCCTACATATCCATCACAGCCTGATTGATCTGGCACCTGGTGAAAATACTTGTCCAGTTTCCTCCAGCCGTTTTTCTGATATCTTCTGGTAAGATGTTGAATAGTCTGGGACCCCGAATGTTGATACAGTGTTTCCTTATTGTCCCCACCGCACCCCTGCTCCTCACTGAGTTCATTTTACACTTCCTCCCATATCTCTCACTCCAGTATGTTGTTATGCCAGTGTGCAGATTTGGGACTAGGCCCTCGAATACTTTTCAGGTATATATTACCATATCTCTCTCTCTCTCTCCTTCGCTCCAATGAGTACATGTTCAAGACTTGCAGGCGTTCCCAGTAATTTAGATGCTTTCCTTGCTCAACGTGAGCCGTAAACGATCTCTGTATTTGTTCCAGCTCTGATATTTCTGCCCTGAACGGGGCCGTCACCACTGAGCAATATTCTAAATGAGGGAGCACTAGCGATTTGAAGAGTGTCGCCATCGGCATTATTTCCCTTGTTTTGAAAGTTCTCAATACCCACCCAGTCATCTTCCTGGCTGTCTTGATTTTTGTCTTGTTATGGTGTTTAAAAGAAAGGTCCGCTGACATAATTATTCCTAGGTCTTTTACGTGTTCCTTACGTTCTATTTGGTGACCCTCTTGAGTTTTGTATACAGTGTTCCTTTTGAGTTCTTCATTCTTTCCATACCTAAGCAGCTGGAACTTATCACCAGTGAACGTCATGTTGTTCTCCACTGCCCACTGGAAAACCCTGTTTATGTCTTCCTGTATTTTTTCAGTGTCCTCTATCGTAGTGACTTTCATGCTTATTTTAGTGTCATCTGCAAATGATGATAAAAAAGTGATGGGTGTTTTTATCTATGTCTGCTATGAGGATGAGAAACAGCAGAGGTGCCAGGACAGTTCCTTGGGGCACTGAGCTTTTGACCTCGCTGGTGGTGGATCTCGCTCTGTATACTACTACTTTTTGTGTTGTGTGTGTTAGGAACCCGAAAATCCATCTGCCTACCTTCCCCGTAATGCCCATGGCCCTCATTTTGTTTGCTATCACTCCATGGACGCATTTGTCAAACGCCTTTGTAAAATCTGTGTAAATCACATCTGCGTTTTGGTCGTCTTCCAGTGCCTCCGTAATTCTGTCATAATGGTTCAGCAGCTGTGACAGACATGATCGTCCTGCTCTAAAACCATGCTGGTTCGGGTTATGTTGGTTGTGCTGGTCCATGAAATTTGCAGTCTGCTGTCTCATCACTCTTTCGAAGATTTTTATGATGTGAGAAGTTACGGCTACTGGTTAGTAATTTTTAGCTAGTGCTCTACTACCCCTCTTTCTCCAAAGAATACTGAGGGCTCGTGCTTGTGGTACTTTGCACTTCTTTATAAACAGAGCATTCCGTGAATCTGGTCCAGGTGCTGAGTGAGTGGGCATGTTGTCCATTTCTTTTTCGAAATTTATGGGATTTGTAATAATGTCAGTTAGCTGGTCTACGCGGCCTTCTGCTGGAGTGAAAAATGTTTCTGCATTTTCTATCTTGCTGAACACCGACTCATACTGTTCTTTTAGGATTTCACTCATTTCCTGTTCATCGTCAGTATACGAATCTCCTCTTAATAGTGGTCCAATTCCACAGGTAGTCCTTAGCTTGGCTTTTCCATAGGAATAGAAATATTTTGGGTTTCTTGCAATATCCTGTATGGCCCTTTGTTCCCTCTGTACTTCTTCTGTGAGGTATGACATCCTAAGTTTTTGCTCTAATTTAGTGATATCTCGGCTAAGACTATCTTTCCTCTGTTGTAGCAAATTTGTGTTTTTAAGCAATTCAGTAACCCGTTTTCTTCTTCTGTACCATCTCCTACGCTCTCTATCTGATCTTCTGGGATTCCTCAATGGTACATGTTTCATACATACTTTGCATGCTTCTGTATTCAGCTTCTCTAGGCACTGGCGAGGATTTAGGTCGCTCATGTCTGACTCCCAGGGTATGTCTGATAGCTCTTGGTTTATTTTTTCCCAGTCAATTGTATGGCTGTTAAAATTAAACTTACTGAATATCCCGTCTCTAACATAGATTGTGGGCTGTGTAAATTTCGATTTTTGGCCTTAAATATGTTTTTTTTTTCCGTGATCGTCTGGTCGTCTTCAAACACTAAGCGCATGTATATTATGATAAGAAATTTTTTTAAATTTATTTTAGGAACTGCAAATGATAATTTGCCATTTTCATCGAAGAAATTTGGAAAATTTAAATATTGATTGTCGTGCGATAACTGAATGCCTCATCTTATCGGCTTCAAACTTTTAACGCTGACGTATCTTACTTTTAAATGATATTTTTAAGTGTTACTGGTCAGTGTAGATGCTAATTTACATTTTTTTAAACCCTCAAGTACACCTTATCTGGTACTTCATACAAGGTATTAAATTTCAGTTTCTAAATAATCTTATAAGATTGTAAAATATTTCAAACAGACTTTAACCAAATTATATACTGCAAATTATATACTGCAAATTATATACTGCAAATTATATACTGCAAATTATATACTGCAAATTATATACTGCAAATTATAATTGCAAATTATATACTGCAAATTATATACTGCAAATTATATACTGCAAATTATATACTGCAAATTATATACTGCAAATTATATACTGCAAATTATATACTGCAAATTATATACTGCAAATTATATACTGCAAATTATATATTGCAAATTATATATTGCAGAGTTGGTCATGATCTCAAATACAATGCTTTTTTTTCCCTCAAAGTTTTCGTTTATAACTTGTGAACGCCTAATTTGGTGGTGAACTTTAACTGAGAGAACAGCCATTACTGAGTTTGGTTACCTTGTAATAACCAGAGAGAGCCTCTTCTGCTCAGCTTCAAATTTTCTTAGCTGGTGTATCCTATTATGAAGACTGGAAGTTGAAGAGAAAGACACATATGAAACAGTTGGGTATATTCATTGTTGATTGCAACGTTTCACTACAGTCAAATACAGAGGCAGAAGGAGTGAAAATCAGTTCGTCAACCTTGGAGAAATAGTTTTTGAAGTGGTCAGTCCCTCAGCCTGGAGAAGTCTTCAGTCTGGAACAATATTCCAGACTATGTAGCTAAACACTTCTCCATACCTACTGCCTCTACATTTGACTGAATAAATCTGTGTAGACCAAACGCTTTAATAATCAATAAAGATGTCCAACTGTTGCACATGTGTCTTACTCTTCAACTTGTCGGTATTATACACCAGTGGAAGTGTTAGTCTAGTTTGTAGGTACATTTTTTTTTATTTTCTCATACTATCAATGAATTTAGAAATGTTAGATTCAGAGCAGTAACTGGAGGCTGCTGTTGTGAAGGGAACTTTAGAGGGGATTTTGGGTCTAGCAAGTTTTAATTTGCCAGTTTTACTGAAGAAATTGGTTGCCATGCAATAACTAAAGACTGGTTCTTCTGAGTGGCTTCAGTCCTTAATCCTAATTTATTTTGGTGCCAATTAGCTAATTTGACCGAAATTGGAAATTGAAGAAGATAGTTCTCGTGCGATAATTTGAGAACGAATCATCCAAAACTTTAACGCCTCTAACTTAAAATTGCAATTTGCCAGCACCTTCCAACTCAAAGTGATGGTGTATGTTGAGATATTGGTCTTTGTGCGATATTTGCTTTCAGTCTCCAGAGCTGGTGTATCTCTGTGGAGGAGTCGAACTGAAGCTACGACATTAGTTTTCATAAGATAACTAGGGAATGCTTCTTCTAACTGCCTTCAAATCTTCAGTGCTAAAATTTAACTGTAACAGACTTAGGCTGTTCTCTGTAATCTAGTATAATTAGTAAACAACTGGGTTCATCTTTGGTTCCTTCATACACACACGTGTACTTATGCACATTATTATCATTATTAAAGATTAGCCGGTATTCTCCCGGCCCGGGACTTTTCCAAGTGGTGGCCGGGCCTTGGCTCCCTCTTTAGGGAGTGTCTGAGACCTAAGTCTCCCATGGGAGGAGGCACAAGTACCTCCTCATCTTTGGGACCAACTGCCCCCAGGCCTAGCCACAAGCTAGGCCTCTCTGGTCTGCCATCCCCGCCCCAAGGGGGCTAATGGGAATGACAGTTTTGTGAGCTGTAAGCTCGGGCTCAGGCACCTACCTTACCCTAGAAGGGTTAGGCATGGTGTCGATGACTTATGCACATTATTATTTATTATTATTATTAAAGATTCGCCGGTATTCTCCCGGCCCGGGCCTTTTCCAAGTGGTGGCCCGGCCTTGGCTCCCTCTTTAGGGAGTGTCTGAGACCCAAGTCTCCCATGAGAGGAGGCACAAGTACCTCCTCATCTTTGGGACCAACTGTCCCCAGGCCTAGCCACAAGCTAGGCCTCTCTGGTCTGCCATCCCCGCCCCAAGGGGGCAAATGGGAATGACAGTCTTATGAGCTAAAGGCTCGGGCTCAGGCACCTACCCTACCCTAGAAGGGCTGGGCATGGTGTCGATGACTTATGCACACGAGTACTTTCACATGTATACAAGTGCTTTTTATATTAATGTGAGGTAATGATTAACATATATTAAAAGGCTAGGATTATAGATACCTTTCTGGGGGACATTGAGGTAGACGGCGCTGGGCTTTAGGGGTACGTGGTTACCTTTCTCGGATCTTTCACCAACCGAAATGCATCTATTAAAATAATATTATTTATTTTTATTATTGCTAATAATTATTATTGTTACTGTTACTGAAGACTTTCCCCGTTTTCTTAAATTACAACAATGAAGATGTAAATAATAAGAGCGAACACACACTGCAACATTAGTTACATGAACTTATCGATACTTGCAACTCTCCCTGCGTCAGGAGGTGGAGGCAGTGACGAGAGCGACATCGAGAGTGAGCCGGGAATCCCCCTCAAGCGTAAGCAGAGGCGCTCGAGGACCACCTTCACTGCAGAGCAGCTGGAGGTGCTGGAGCGCTCCTTCGAGAAGACACAGTACCCAGACGTCTACACCAGAGAGGAACTGGCTCAGAAGTGAGTGTACTTTGCTTCTTGCCGGGTGTGGGGTGGGGTTAGAATTCATGGCTGCAATAAAATTCATCTTATTGTAGCCAGCTGATCCAGTGGCTCACGCACTGACCTGGAGCTTTACGACTCATTTGCCATGAGTTCTAACTCCACCCGTATCATGGCTTCTCTAAGAGTGTTCTAAGGATCAGTGTCTTAAGATGTTCTTCCTGTTAGCATAAAGTCTTGCGGCGTCCCATATTTTCCTCTGCAAAACTGAACGTAGGATGAGTAACTTGGGCGGTAGGTACACGAAGAGTCAAACTGGTTGAAGCCCTGGTTAGCCAGGTAGCATCACCGCACTTACACCTTTCGGAAGTGTTGATAGAATCCACTTATTTATTGTACTGGTCGTGACAGGCTGTTCTATTACTAAAAAATTCATTTTACTAACTTTAATAGTTATACTGAATATCTGATGACTTTAAAATGTCTTGTATAATTATATATACGAAACTATTTTTTTTTTTAGGTGATTTAAAGTAAGTTATTTTCTTGGTGGGGCTGTGTTACTTAGATAATTTCTGCCTGAAGAATAACTTCAAATGCTTAAATTTTATTTTGATGAACTCACACTTACATTATTTACATAATATGTTGTGCTTAGGAAAACCATTCTGGAAAATACCCTGACTTTGCTCGCTCTCAATACAGCATTACCGTTTTTTTTTTTTTTGGTGTGTGTGTGTGTGACCTAATTCATGACTGCATAACTAACTCATTACGATTGTGACCAGATATAAACATGTCAATAATTCATTACCACTGTAACTTGTTCATTTATCAGAACTTTGCAGCCCAGTCCCTGGACCTATTATGTACCTCTGTAATCTTTTGACTACTGACCATAGGATGGGTATGGAATGCATAATAAGGATATTAAACTGGTATGTTTGTGTTAACATTGGGCGTGTTCCCTCTCAGAGCTAAGCTGACGGAGGCGAGGGTACAGGTGTGGTTCAGTAATCGTCGGGCGAGGCTAAGGAAGCATCTGAGCAGTCAGCAGCTGGCTGGACTCTCCTCCAGCATGCCCCCGGCAGCCGCCATGCCCACCGCCGCAGCCGCCTCCTCCTACATGAACCAGTATGCGCCACCCGCAGGAGACCACACCGCTGTCGCAGCCGCCACCGCAGCCGCGGCCTACCATTGTAAGTGCTCACAAGTATCCTGTTCCCCCAGTTAATGTTGACTTGATGAAGACAATTTTTGTCTTGATTATCTGGCATTTTGAATTTAAGGGCACATAAAAGGTTAGTATAGTGATGTCCTGTCAGCTATGTATAGTGATGTTCCAAGTCCTCCCAGCTATGTACAGTGATGTTCCAAGTCCTCCCAGCTATGTATAGTGATGTTCCAAGTCATGCCAGACATGTATAGTGATGTCCCAAGTCCTCCCAGCTATGTATAGTGATGTCCCAAGTCCTCCCAGCTATGTATAGTGATGTCCCAAGTCCTCCCAGCTATGTATAGTGATGTCCCAAGTCCTCCCAGCTATGTATAGTGATGTCCCAAGTCCTCCCAGCTATGTATAGTGATGTTCCAAGTCCTCCCAGCTATGTATAGTGATGTTCCAAGTCATGCCAGACATGTATAGTGATGTCCCAAGTCCTCCCAGCTATGTATAGTGATGTCCCAAGTCCTCCCAGCTATGTATAGTGATGTCCCAAGTCCTCCCAGCTATGTATAGTGATGTCCCAAGTCCTCCCAGCTATGTATAGTGATGTCCCAAGTCCTCCCAGCTATGTATAGTGATGTTCCAAGTCATGCCAGACATGTATAGTGATGTTCAAAGTCATTTCTTTCCCTTCTTTCCCACTTTTGTTGACTCGTCTCCCGGGACCGGCTTCTAGCTCCTGGGCCCAGCTGGCTGGGATCCTGCCCTACTAACCCGTGCTTCTCCCTGCTACAGCCTCCAGCGCCTGGCAGAGCTCCAGCGGCTACGACTACCCTAGCGCTGCAGCTTTCACTGACAACTCCCACGCCCTTATGTCGTCTCCTATGGCCGCCATGACCTATCCAGTGTCTTCCATGCCTTCCATGACAGCCTCCATGACGCCTACAATGAATTCAGCATCGTCGACCACGGAAAGCGGCTGGAGCGGCGTCAAACCTGTGGGGTCACCTCATATGGGTGGCTGGAACACCGGGTTCTCCACCCTGGGTGGGGAGCAGTTGGGCGGTCTTTTGGGCGGGCAGGGTTACAATATGGGCCACGCCATGCCCACCGCTGGCCCCACCATGGGTGATAAGACCCACGTAGCGCCCACAGCCGCTGCAGCATACCCAGCATACTTC